GACAAATCGTGTCGATAAAAGTTACAGAATTGCACTGCTGGTGAACAGACGCTACAATTAGACTTCCGCAGACCCTTAAACCGAATAAGTTAGAGTGGCTCCACTGAGGCTTCCTCTCTCATTAGACGTGACCCCAATGGTTCCACCCGGGTTGGTTACCGCATCTTGCACAAGGGTCACTCACGTTTCCAGGGTGCGGGACCTGGATGCAAGAGTAGGAATTGAGTATAGCCTCGCAACTAAAACAGCACACCCAGAATTTTGACTACACCTCACTACATCCGAAACGTAAACATTAATAGCGAAAAAAAAATAATTTTTGTCTAAATATTGTAATATTTTTGCAACTTCAAACCAATATAAAATATATAATGCTGAAATTTGATGCACTACGGACACGATTCTTGATGCTACTTTGAAAATTAAAACAAAACGCTTCTATACTCTTTATAACTAAATATATAAATATTATATGTTTTCATTTAATGATTAAGATAACTTAAAAGCTACCATTATAATAGATGCATAAATCATTATCTTGACATACAATCACACACTGAACCAAGATCAACAAGCAATAATTCGAACCTCAATCTGTGCTGAAAACAAATAAGTATGGGCGAGTTCTAACAAGTCAAAATGCTTTGTAACGGTGCGGATACGACCCTGCAAAATTACTTTGTAAATGCTACCATTTTAAAACGCTTTTATCCAAATAAGTTGCTTCTCGGAGAAATGACTAATATATAAAACAGATAAAAACAAAGCATTTAAACAAAATAATCAGCGCAAAAAACTTGTTTTCCGACGTCGGCCGTTGCTTTGCAACTAACGATATGATTTACACCCTAGAAAAAGTAAGATAACTCGTTGTTTCTCGTTTCTGAACAAGTTGCCAGCCAACGGCACTCGAATGCTTCCAATACGAGGTATGTTCAAAAAGTTCGCGGGTTACGTATAATCGAATTTCGATTTTTTTGTGGCGTTATGTTGGTACTCATGTTTGTCATTTATGCCGACAAGCTCGGACATTTTGAATGTTCACTTAATTGTTGACAAAAAAATGGATCAAAGAACCTGTATCAAATTTTGTGTGAAAAACGAAATTAAGTGCGCGGATGTATGCCGAATGTTGACTGTGGCATACGGAGAAGCTACGTTGGACCGAAACAATGCTTATCGGTGGTACAAAATGTTCTCAGAAGGCAGAGAAGATGTGAACGACGAAGAGCGTACCGGACGCCCGAGCACTTCAATAACAGACGAAAAAATTAATTGCAGGGGCGTGGTGCATCATGAGTTCTTGCCACAGCGTAGATCGGACAATAAGGAATTTTACCTGCAAGTTATGCGTAATTTGCGCTAAGCAATCCGCCAAAAACGCCAGATTTGTGGAAGAACGAAAATTGGCTTTTGCACCTCGATAACGCCCCTGCTCACACATCGTTGCTTGTGCGCGACTTTTTGGCCATAAACCACACACTAATGATGCCGCAGCCACTGTCTTATATATGAAAGGACGACGTTACGCTACGATTGACGAGATAAAGACGGCATCGAAGGAGGAGCTGAACAAGATAAAGAAAATGACTTTTTGAAGTGCTTCGAAGATTGGAAAAACCGTTGACACAAATGTACAATATCTCATGGGGATTACTTTGAAAGGGACAAAATAGATATTCATGAATAAATAAATAATTTTTGAAAAAACTTAAACTGCTCAAAAAAGACGTTTCTATTCTTTTTTCTTTTGTTTTTAATACACCCTGTAAATTTTTTGCTTTAGTTGGTGAAGCAGCATGTCTCACGTACTGGCCGCAACAAAAACTTATTTTGTGTTTGTTCTGACAAATCTTCCTTTCACTCCAAGCGTCGACAGTTGACAGATAGAACAACAGATCGGGAAACGGGAGATAGACCCCTGGGACAGCAGGACAGGCGGTCTAGTGAGGCGAGTTAGTAAACCTTCTAACTTCCAACTGGAAAATGTCGGTGTTTAGTTTGAAGAGGTTAGGTTAGCGTTTTCCTTGGTTTTCCTGATTTATTGCCATCGAGGTGGAGAGCACGTCGGTTCTCCTTGAATGCCTCGTGGTTCCCAAGCTACCTCAGGTCGGAGTTCCGGGCATCGATTTTTGGGCCAATACGGGTATTCTCCCGGATGTATCGAGAATGAGGTGGTCGTTTTCTCGGCCGGAACCAGAACCGTTGGTAAATGTTATGGAAGAGCCTCCACAGTCTCCTGACTTTAATCCGATAGAAAATTTGATGGCTGATGTAAAGAAATCGGTGTCTGACTGTTATCCTACAAATAATTTGCTTTTATGGGAATCCGTAGGCTACTTGGAACTCAATTCCAGTTGAAAGACGCCAAAATCTGGTGACCTCTATGCAACTTCGCTGTGTCGCCATAATTAATAATAACGATTATACAACTCAATACAAAATTATTGTAAAATAATAGCCAATTTTAAAAAGCTTTTAATTCAACCAAAATAAATTTTTGTTAAAATATACACCATAACGTGTATCACTACTTTGATTCGTAAAAAGTATTATGAATTTAGTGCTTGTCCGCGCTACTAAGATTATGACCGCAGCTGTATGTACGTATGCACATACGCACATACTTATTGTAATAGAAAAAAGTGGTGGTGGCACAGGGAACATAATTTTAACTACGATCAGTATTGGCGCATATTTAAGAACAAACATATGTACATCAGCAGCATCTCCAGTATTTAATTTTCGTTGGTTTTGCATTGCTTCGCATTAGCTGATTAGCTGATGGTAACGATCTCAAAGAAGGTAACTCTCATTAACTGGTACATCGCTCTCAATTGATCTGGGGTTGGGGCTACCCAAGCTAATGAGAAAACCGGAGATCTAGAACCCAGCGGAGAAATCATGAGAGAGCCGAGGCCAATCCGGCGAATAAGGTACCATTTCAAACACAGAAAGCGAAAGGCTCTCACTATCTTAATACGGAACGTTTTTCACACGCTGGGAAGCATTGGTGGTGGACTCGCTTTTGGACATTGACACCGAAGGGGAAGACATTGACACTATATTCATAACACCCCCTAAAGTCGAGGAGGTCAAATCCAAGGACGTGTCAACATATCAAGATGATACAGATGCTTCAGATTAATCTGCATCACTCCACTCCGTTGACATTATTCTAGTTAAAGAATTTTGGGTACTAGGTTCAAGATCAGCGAGGTAACCTCTGATACATACCAAACATTATCCGCTCTAAAAAAAGTTGGCCCGAGAGTGTGCATTCTTATTAAGAAAAATATCTTTTATTTTTTTCTCACTCTTTCTGACAAGTCAATGAACTTTCCTGACCTTGACCAGCCCCATATATATTTTTATCTCACCATGAGAACACCATCGATCGTTGCCTACAGAAAAAGGAAGAAGACTTTTCGTCTATTAGTATTACTTCTTTCTTCTTAGAAATCTTTGAAAGGCTAGGAGAGTTCCAAAGCAACAGTTGCAAAGCAACCATACATTGTTAGGCATTCCTAAATGCAAGTGGGAAAACTTTGACGATGCGCAAACAGGACCAAACTGCGCATCCTACAAGATGCATTATTTTATCATAAAATCTTAAGAACAACGGCTGACATCTACTTTTTTTAAACATTATATTATTTATTTTCTTGATCTGTTTCATATTTTATCCATTTAACCAAAAAGCAACTTATTTGCAGGAAAAGCATTCCAAAATGTCAGAGCTTGCAAAGTATTGTTGCAAGGCAAAATTATAGAATGCAGGGTGGCATTGTTACGATGAGGCTTCGCAACCGCATCATTACAAAATGCTTTGACGTTTTGGATCTCGCCCACTGCTAGACAACTATAAAGGACTAAATCTACCCCCAAACAGCCGGAGAAAGCAAAATGATTTCTATGAGGATAAGTCTGGCAATACAGCCTTATATGACACCAGGCACCCTTAAGAAGGAGTTTTATTGCCTTTGCTGTGGTGTCTAATAGCAAACACGCTGATTAGAAAACTGTACAGCACAGGCTATGGTGTGGTGGCATACGCTGGCAATTTTGCCCTAACAGCGAGGGATCTACTCCAAAATTACCTACACATAGTAGGGCATTCTTTGACACACATAGGTGTGTGCATATCTGCGCTGCGACAAGATAGTGATCCGAGTCGGTGTAAGGTCCTCGGAACGTATAGCATACTGGATACATGTCTTCTGTCTATCACAACGAGATAGCTGGTTGAGAGTTTTTCTACCTGGGGACAGCCACGTATCTTTGTGAATTTTCTTATGCTGGAACCTAGTACTACAAACAACCAACTCATAAAGAACATCCGTGGTCACATCCGTCTTTCGCTTCCGCCGGGACATGGCCGTAAACCAGCGTTGTGCTGAAGAATTTTGTTTGCCAGTACTTGGTATTAGGCGACTGAGGAGTATCTCTATCTCTTTTCTATATGGGCCCTGTAGCATATTTTACAAGAACCCTCCGTCTTCCATTATACAACTAGGTGGACATGAGCATTTTTCCGTTTAAGGAACCAAACTTTCCATGTGCATGCCCTCAAATTGTAATCCTTAAAACATTTGCGGCGATCCTCATCTAAAGCGCGGTTATTCATCCGAGTTTATTTTTTCATGCGGTGGGTCCCAAGCTCTACGCACACCCGCATGGCATTTGTCTTCTCATTTGAGCGCGTCTCCATTGTTGGCTATATAGAAGATATTTGGTCTAAGTCCGAAAGTCGTGAACTGCTGCAATCATACGCAAAATTAGCGTTTCTGGCCAATGTCAGGTGAATGCCAATCCGAAATTTTATTCCTTGTGTGAACTATTAACAATCATTTCTATGTTCAACCGAATCAACAAGAAAACAAAAAGAAGTGTTACTTACAGCTAAAATATTTCCAGGAAATCTTTCTATTACTAAGCACTTGCAATTTTTATTTGTATGACCCACTTTAATTTCTTGCTCCCTAACTCGAGGTACTTACTGCATTACAGGAATTGATGTCAACAATCTGTTTAGATTCTAAAAATTCCAGCACTTTTCTCAAGTCACCGCTGCGAGCCGCTCGAAGAAACGATACAGTCGCCTCATTCTGAAAAAATAAGAACAAATAAATGAAGCATCAGTTGTTTGTATACCTTAATATGGGCCACATAGTACCTAAAATTTTTGTACCTGAAACTAATTTTGCAAAGTGGGCTTGTTAACTTGGTTAGAAGGAATCCATGGAAACCTGTTATATTGTTGTTTTCATTGTTGTCGTCACCGAGGTCGTTTACCGGAGGTCCAAGAAACATGATGCTTCGACGGGATCGAGCCAGAAAGAGTTATGGGTTGTCAGCTTAAGAGGTCATGTGAAGAGGTGGCTAGTGTAGGGCGGAGACTCTTCACATGCTGGGCATAAGTTGGGTATGTTGGGATCGAGTTTGGATAGGTAGGACTTTAGTATCCAGACTTAAGTTGTGCCAGTGCCAGGCAGCTCGACCTCGTTGTCTGCGATAGGTAGACAAGCCATCCGGTTCTACGTACCGAAAATGACCCTTTCGGCGACCTTCCTCCGGTAAGGTCAAAGGGTAGCTTAAAACTGTTTTCGTAAGGTATGGTCTCACTACCATTGTAAAAAGGTTTGTGCTTTTGTGATGTGAAATTTTCTTATCAACTATTAGGCTGGTTTTATTGTCCAAAATTGTCTATTGCCTAGGAGGTCGTTGGAAAAGTATTGAAACTTCAACTAGATGCTGCTGCAATTTGAGGAATATGTTAAAGGCGATAAAAGGCTTCAATGTTTTGGAACACTGGCGGAAGGTGAGATAGTTTATTCCATAATAGACGAAAAAGCCTTCGAAACATCATCTGAGGAAAATTCGGAAGATGAAAGTACTGCTGTTCCACCTACCTTTATGTAAGCTTTAGGGTCGCCTTCAACAATTCAACATTTCGTGGGGAGTAAAATCTTTATTTTAATGAAATTGAATCGCTTGAAGAAAACCTGTTTAAAACACCTAAGTTTTGTCGCGTACTGCCCGCAACAAATCTTCTTTTGTGTTTGTATGTTCATTTCATTTGTGTTTTCGTGATAGGGTCTTTTGTTGTGCCAGCATAGGGCAACACGTCAATTGCATTAGGGTAATAATTTTCAATATTTTATAACAAAACAAATTTTTGTTTATTCATTTATTTTTTTTTGGCTTTTGTTTTTTTGTTTTATAACCTTTTTTGAATACGTTTTTTTTTCATTATGGAGATTAATCGGTTAGCGCAGGATGAGCTCCCGTACGAGATGGAGGCACGTGGCCTTCCAGTCGGTACGGTTGAGGCCATGCGTAAGTCGCTAAGGGCATCGCGGTTAATTGAGCGAAGAGTTTCGGTAAACCTCTTCCAAGACTACCCCTTTAGTTTCGACGAAGATAAGGCGGCGGTCGAATCGAAACTGGAGGAGATAGAAAATTTAATCGCCTCGGTTTCGGGTGGAGGCAAGCCATCGCATTAAGCGAAAACGATGGCAAAAATTAAGTGGAGCTTTTCGCGAATAAGTCGGGCGCGACCGGGCAATGACGGCGAGATGAGTCAACAGATGGAGCTGAAGAGCAAGTTGTTGCTCCATCTCGCCGAACTGCAGGAGGCAGTCGATAGTGGAAAAGCCGAAGAGGAGATCGGTTCGGTTGAGCGCTCGGGTGCCACTCGTGCGGACCCGATAGTACCCCCACCTGTGGAGATACGACGTGTGGTCGAGGAGACAGTCGAGTCTCAGAAGCCGGTGAACTTGTCAAAGTGGGACGTCGAAGGTCGCTTTTCGCATTTTTAGAAAGGGTTGAGGAGTTGAGCGAGGTACGCGGTGTGACTCAAGCTCAACTTTTCCGCGGTGCGGTAGACCTGTTTGTAGGGAAAGTTCTACTTTAGTTTAGGTTAGTCAGGAAGACATTAGGTAGTTGGGAAGAGTTAGTAAGAGAGTTGAAGATGGAGTTTTTGCACCCCAACTACGAAGATCTCTTACTATAGATGACATTAGGAGAAGGACTCATGGAACGAACGAGTCCATATGCGTTTATTTAGCGACGCTGGAGATAATGTTTGGTAGGCTTCAGGAGCCTTTATCTGAAAGAAGGATGTTAGGATTGATTAGGTCGAATCTCCTTCCATTTTATCAGACCCAGTTAGCACTGGTGACAATAGGGTCTGTTCCTTTGGGTAGGCTACTAGAGGAGGTTAGATCATCGGTGGATGCATTTGTCCCTCCTCCGAATCATAAGGCCAAGGGTTTGTTGGAACCTGTCTTGGCTTATGTCTCGGCTGGTGTAGAGGTCGCTGCGGTAGCAGAGCCGGACCCTGTAGAAAATTTCAGGCCGGGGTCGAATACCCGTTGATTTAATTGCAAGGGCGGGCATATATCTACAGAGTGTAAGAAATGGATAAAGTGCTTCGGGTGCGGAAGACTTGGAGTTATGAAGCGGGACTGCCCGGTGTGTGCGGCGAAGCCGAATGGCTCCCCAAAAACCAAACGGAGTACGGATTGTAGAGTGGTCGAAACCACTATCCTTTCAGGTCAGGGCCCGTGAGCGAAAGTAGGTCGGATGAAAGAATAAGGAATTCTCGATTGATTGAGTTGTCAGGTCGGACAACAGATCGGGAAACGGGAGGTACACCCCTGGGACAGCAGGACAGGAGGTCTATTTGGGCGAGTTAGTGATCCTGCTAACTCCCAGCTGGCAAGAGTAGGTGTCGATTTTGAAGAGGTTAGGTTAGAGTTGTCGTTGGTGACGGACGGTCACGACGAACGCCCTTATTTGGATGTTAAGATCCATGGTTTTGCTTTTAGGGCTTTGTTGGATTCTGGTGCGACCAGAACAGTAATAGGTCGGCTAGGTTGGCAAAAGCTTAACGCGTATGGTATTAGGGTGAATTCTGTTTCTAATGTTTTGAGAGTGACTCTCGCGGATGGAGAGCATGTCGGTTCTCCTGGAATGCCTGGTGGTTACCGAGTTACCTCAGGGCGTAATTCTTGGCATCGATTTTTGGGCCAAGGCGGGTATTATTCCGGATATATCGAGGATGAGGTGATCGTTTTCTCGGCCGGAACCAGAACCGTTGGTGGGAATAGTGAACCACTCCGAGTTAGGCGATAGAGAGTCTAGGACAATAGGTCATTTAATAGCTGGTGCGTTCCAGGCTATGCCGGAGGGGCTAGGCCGGACCCATTTAGTCGAACATAAGATCAGGGTAAAGGCAGGAGTTGAACTTGTAAAACAGAGATTTTACCCTGTGTCTCCCGTCATACAGTCGCGTATGGACGAGGAGATTAAGGACATGGTCAATAAAGGTTTGATAGAGAAATCACATAGCCCTTGGGCGTCTCCAGTAGTAATGATCAGGAAGAAAGACGGTACATATAGGTTTTGTGTAGATTATATGGTTTTAAATAAATGTACCGAGAAAGATAGTAACCCACTTCCATACGTGTCGGCGACCTTATATAAGCCAAGCGACGCCAAGTTTCTGTTCAGTCTGGATATTAAGTCCGTTTTTCCACTTTTCCAATAGCCCGGTGGAGGAGCAGTCGAGGCCCTTCACAGTGCTTACGATACCCGGTAGAGGACTATTTCAGTTCAAGACGATGCCATGCGGTTTGCATAATGCACCAGCAACTTGGCAGAGATTTATAGATTCAGTCATAGGACCAGAGTTAGAATGTCATGTTTTTGTGTATTTGGATGATATTATTATCGTCACAAATAATTTTGAGAAACATTTAGAGATTTTGAAAGACGTTTTAGATAGATTAGCTAGAGCAGGCTTAGATTCTAAAGGCAGAAATGTAATTTTTGTAGGTCTGAGCAGAAGTATTTGGGCTAAGTGGTGGGCAAGAACGGTCTACACGTATATCCCGAAATGGTAGAGGCGATGTTTCGGATTGAAGTACCGAAGGACGTAAAGCAACTGCTGTCATTTATAGGAAAAAAAGTCCTGGTATCGCAGGTTTTTTAAAGATTTTGCAGAATTAGTTAGGCGAAGCAAAAGAGCGCTTGGTGACAGCTCCGGTTTTGAGTTGATTGAGTTGATTTTTATAGGCCTTTCACAGTCCAGAGAGACGCGTCTGATTTCGGTGTGAGTGCGATACTAGCGCAAACGCTTGATAACGGTGAGAGGGTTATAGCTTATTTGAGTTACATAAGTTGAAGCTCCAGCAGTATGATTTTGATATAGTGCATCGGAAAGGCAAGGAACATGTGGTTCCGGATATGCTATCCCGAAGTGTGCCAGTTATTGCTGGGGTGACTACTACCGATCCCTGTTAAGCAAGGATGATTCGGTTAGTCGAGAAAAAGCCTCTGTCGTATCCAGCGTGGAGAGTTGAAGGTGGCAACCTTTACAAGTTCGTTAGGTCGAGATTTTCTTCGGTTTATGGCGATTCGCCAGAGTGGAAAATGGTAATAGGGCGTGATGGTAGAAATGAGATTCTGAAAGAATGTTACGACGGCCCGTTGGCAGGCCACATGGGTGTAAAAAAGACTTTTGCGCGCGTTTCACAAAAGTTCTACTGGGACTGGATGAAGTCGGATATTGTCAACAGGTGAAACCTGAGAATTCACAGCCAGCTGGGGGTATGATAGAGAGGACCAAGGCAGTAGAGCCTTGGGGAATGATATGCGTGGATCTGGTAGGACCTTTAGTGTGGTCGACACAAGGCTACCAGTATATTTTGACAGTAGTAGATTACTTTTCTAAATTTCCCCTCCTATTCCCCTTTACGTACTGCCACGGAAGTATTTCTTTGGTTGGGTCGGTTGTGTGTGACAATGGACCCCAATTTAGGAGTCGCGAGCTTCGGGGCTTCTGCGGTGAATATGGCGTCCAACTTCGGTACACCGCGCACTATCATCCACAGGCTAATCGGGCCGAGATTATTAACCAAATTATTAAGACAATTCTTAGGGCTTACGTGTCAGAGAATCAGTGGACATGGGATCAACAGTTAGCGAAAGTAGCTTGCTGCATTAGGACTGCGCAGCACGAAGTGTTAGGAGCTACGCCAAATTTTGTGAATTTGAGAAGGGAGATGGCGCTAGAAGGAAGTAGGGACTTCATGGACAGGTT